TCGAAAACAAAGTTAAATATTTTGTTTTGTCTAGTCAGGAAAAGTAAATCGAAGCTTAGTGTCAGTGATTTAAAAAAAACATGCTTAAGCTGTCGTCGGATACAAGCATCCATTAATGTTTGACCGTTGTTGGAAAATACACAACAAACATGAAGCATATCCACCTAAAGCACACAAAGAGATGCTTGGCTTGCATAAAGATCGCGTTTATTCAAATTAAACCAAATAACCATAAAAACGGAAATTGGTCTACATTAACGATATGGCTGCCTATAACTTGGTTCCAACAAGTAAAAGAGAGATGCACCGTAATTAACACAGTGCATATTGCGTTGCAAAACAGTGACCGCGTAATCGTTGGTCCAAAGAATTGAGCAATAAGCCTTGCGTCTTTTGAGGGAAGCATAAAAAAGTATTTTTCAAAATCAGCCTAATAGATTTCAAGCCTATGCCCCGTCCTTCATTTCTGTTGGATACAATTTCAAGTAACCTGCATTTTTGTGAAGAGTTGGTTGTGATGAAATGAACACACGGGGATTGTTGATGATGCCGGTGCGCTTGACTGCACAACTTTTCATTCATGTAGGGCGTTGCCAACTAACACACACCATGCGCCTACAAACTGGCACGTCAAGTGGCCCGGAGCAAGATTGCCTTGAATTTATAACTACTATTTTAATATCAACCTTCTGTCGTTCACTGACTGACACAATATTCAAGGTATATTTTTTCGCAGACTATAGTTTTGAACAGAACATTTTCTTCTAGTTTTTGCATTGTAAAACGCGATTCCCCCTTTTTTGTTATTTTGGTCTGTGTCTATACCACCCTTGTTGTTTTCGACCTGAAATAAACCCTCTTTGGCCTTGTTCTCGGACGTATCGTTTAAGTTCACACGCGATTTCGCTGCTTGTAAACACGTGGCTTTGAGTCAGCGTGGACGTTGAGACCAGTTAGTAATTAGCAGTTCCTAATTCAGTGTATAGAAGCCGGTATGGTCCCACGATTTGAGGTTTGTAAAGCTTTATCATTTTATTATTTTACTTATAGTACCGCATTTGTATCTAAACCTCCATTTGAAAGAATTGGCTTTTGGGGTTTTGTGCGTAACTCGACGTGGTTCAACAGATTGTTGGAGTTAATCTATAGCAGTCGGCCTTGAATAGAGTTGTTTCTGCCTTGATGATTTCTCCAGACGTTTGTTTTTCTCTGTGGTAGTCTTATGAGTTTAAACAACGGTGTGTGAATTTGTTAGTCAACGGAAAACCAGCCATACAATTCAACGCTTAATTCGCGTGCAAAATAATACTCAAAGGTCAAAGAAAATCAATGAGTGAACTGCTGCAGAATGGTTTATACAGGTGCCCGAAAGGAGCTTTTACCTTTACGTTGCGATGCGAATGACATTACTACGGCATCCAGTGCAAGACGTCATTCCTGATAACAGCTGTTCAGGGTTGTTTTACCGTTTCAAATAACCAAAGGAAAAACAGGACTACCGCTTTTGGCTAGCACTACATTCAAAATTTCAACTTTCTTGTTCCAATAGTAACTGAGTGTTCGAAGGCAAGTTCTTTGTACACGAAACAAAAACATGGAAGCAGATAAACATTCGAAAATTTATGGGTGGATTCGTTTCCATTTCTTCAGTAAAATGGCCGAATAGCACGCAAGTTGTGTACGGTGATGTGCGGGTAAACATGAACAAATTTAACGAGCGTGTCCAAAATCGGGAAAATAATTTGAAATATCGATTTCCGAAAGTTAGTTTTAAGAGATTTTACTATTGGATTACGTAACGAAAGCGGCTACGCCGGATAACCAATTGAAAATCCTAACGAAAAAGTTTTTATATACGGCGCATACATGGGTGCAGTAAAGTAAACCGTCATACAGTTTAAGTCGCTATTCGAAGATATCTGGCTCTAGTGAGATTGCTAATTCTGCATGATAAAAATGCCCTTTTTGTCTGCCTGCTCATTTCATTTTTATACGAAGATGCTCCAGTATTAGTGACCGCTTGGAAACACAACTGCGGTTAATGTGGAGAATTCCAATTTTGATTTTTTGCATGATGAGTGCAAGCGTGAAACTATTGGGTAGGTGAATAACAATATATGTATATGTATGTGCATGTTATAATGTTATAATCTTATAATGTTATAATATTATATATATTATATAATCTTTTATGATTATATAATATCGGTTGACTGCCAAAGAAAAGTGTCTACACGTGTTCATCCTAGTCGACAGCGTATAATATCGACACAATAAGACCTGGAATAATTTTATTGACTTTAGAATCACAGCAGGTTTAAAGCAAGGCCCTCTAGAGTTGTGTTTGTGTAGAAATTATCCTACGTACCTACCTCCGTAGATTGAAGGGAAAGATACTTGCAATTGCAAAAGTGTCTTAATGAGGACCGTTGGACGTCAAGTCGGGCGCGCTCTTAAGATCTTGCCTAAATCTAGAGATTTAATTTTCTTCGAGCATCCAAAAAGTGTCGCTTTTAAACAAAGGAAAGAATAACTCCAGTCAATATGTAACGGCTTCCTGGACGATTGGATGTTGATATGATTGCCCTTGTCCATTCAAGCAAAAGCCATTATAAACAAAGCAAATTGCTCTTTTGGCAAGAAAATATCCGGCCTATCCATAGCGGAGAAGCCAAAGTTCCATGATCCACGATGCCACTTTATCACGAGGAAGAGAGGTAAAACGTAACCTTAATTTGAGGAGTACGCAAAACATCCATAAGCGACAGGCGTTCACCCTAGACTTCTGAAGTCTAAACAAAAGGTTTTTTAAAATTATCAAACTGCACCCACCCCTAAAAGTCGCATTATTCGTTTAGTTATTAAGCCAACAATTAAATGGGCTGTGTTTCCAGGACAAGCCTTATCTTTAGCACGGTTTTCAGTTATTTTACTCCAGTGGGATTCTACTGTAGTTCTCTTTAAACAAGTATCTTGGTAATGACTTCGAAAAGAGCGAATCACAAGTAATGATCAGCTCTGAAAGGAACGAAATAAATACGCTGTTTTTTGCAACACTCTTGCTCGAAAACAAGCACATCGTACACAGAGATTTGAAGTTTTCTTGTGCAAGAATGATGTCAACAAAAAACGACCAATGGACTGTTGGTTTTGACGAACCTTTGCGAATTTGCGTTATTATAAATGTAAAAACAATCTATGGGAGATTACATCAAAGTATTAGTGACAAATTTTGTTTGGTTGAACCCCATGATATCCAGTGTTTGGAAGAATTGTAAAATGAGCGCAAATTTGAGTTAAATGGGTAACACGGTGGTACGCCTTGTTAACCAGACATGGCTGGCGTCGGCCGTGGATCAGACACATCCTGCATTCTGTCCCACCGAGGGAAATGATTCTATTTCAGGCACATTTGCTCATTGCGCATACTTTGAATTTTGTGAACAAAAATACCAGATTTTTGGAACACGGGACACACACGTGTAACTCAGCCACTGTCGACGGTTTTAGACGCTACTGTGCATATTTTTCTGCTTTATTATATTAGCCTCGGAGAAAAAGTGCCCAGGAAAAAAAGTTTTAAAAAAACGAATTATAGGCACTGCACTGGATAAATTTAATTACGGTCTGGAAATGTGAAACTGCGTTGGTTCACATCGATGGTTAGCAAGCGGACAAATGTCGGAGGGGAATCAACGCTGATCCACGAGTGGCTTCAAAAAGTTTGACGAATTAATGGTGATCATGTGGATCGATGTACAAAATCTCGCACACGCTTATAAAAATTTAGTTTCCGTCCTTCACAAGGCGTACAGTGGATAAGTATAGTGGACTGTCGAGCGTGGTGGGCGTCCAGTTAAATTTGGAATTTGGACAGAAATAAACCATGGGAAACAAAGAGTGGACGGCAGTTTGGAATAAGACGTTTGCAAACCTTTTTCCGATGCATTAGTTACTGAACGAAATCCATTTGCTGCATGTTTAGGAAGAATTCGTTTGCTTCCACTTTAAACGTCCTGATTACTGCCACTGGCACTAACACGCGCGTGTCAGCATTCCAGCGTCTTACATACAATTTTTGTCGATCCCTGCTTTTTGCTGATACTTTGTTGATTGCAGTAAGATTAAAGTGGAGAGGGGTGTGGTCTTGTCCTCATGATGACACGCACCTGCGCTCGCCGACAGCAAAAAAGGTCTTGTGGATGTAACTTTAATCAAACAAAACCATTGATCATTGCGATAAAAATAACCGGCTTTGTAAATGATGAATTAGCGCGAATCAGGTTAACAGATTCATAAGAATCTGGACACCAAATCACCCAAGAGGAATGGCAGATCCGTTTGACTCCATGGGCCTGCTCAGCTCGTAAGCCGTAATGGAAAACCTTTTCTCCCAATTAGTCATCGGAAAATTTACTACTACTTATGTATGGCATCCTTGACTTAACCGATAACAGGGGGTAAGCATTTACATCTACCGATGTGAAATGAACTGAGCGGATCAGTCGAAAGGGTTCACTGAGGTTGACTAAGCTGCCGTTATTGGATTGAGACAATCAAAATTTTATCAAATTTTGTCGAGATTGTTTGTTGAATCAGTTTAAAAACAAAGGATTTCATTAATATATTTGAACGACCAAGTTGATATAAACTAAATCATACATTCAACTAAATATTTATTTGGTAAAGAATTCGGTGGAGACCTCACTATTAAGTCAAAACGGTTAAAGTATTTTCCGACTCTTTGTGCAGAAACGGGAAAGCAAATATTCCCTTATTATTTTCTGCGTTTGGAGCTTTTTGCCTTCTAGGATGGTACCTTTTCTATGCTTGACATGGGGGAGACGAAACGATTTGGCGACCAAGCAATGTCAGTGGCGATTATGCTTTCAGTTTCTGTCTATATTGTCTGACTGAGTTTTGGGTGTATAGCTACTTTGATGTTTATCTTAGGTCGGCCCTAAGTTCACCTCCTTGCCCGATCTCTCTATTCTTCCCAGTATTGGGATTTATTCAAACTGACATGGTTTTCGGCGGTGAAGCATTTGTGTTGTCATCTGCTGTCACCGTTGATGACGTTAGGATTGTTGTCTCTGAGGTAAGGATCTTAATTTAATTAATATAATTAGCCACTTACCAGCGTGAAACAATGTAGAAGATATTCCTAGTTACATATCATTTGCAAATAACACGTGCAAATTGCTTCAGGTTAACTTCTTTTTCGTAGAAATTTGCTAGCTCTATTTTGGCTCGTCTATTGCAATGTAGATAATGTAGATCCCGTGTTTTGGCTACAAAGGATGAATGGTTCCTTTGAGAAGAGCACACTTCTTAGTGTACGAAACAATTTTCAGTGATTTGCTCAATATTACCTTCGGTTGGTTGTAAAATAATCTTTTGACTAGATTCCAAATATAATGGAATTGAAGGCCGTGGGGTTTGCATACATGGCAAGACTTCATTACGTATGATTGCGGAATTTACTGTGTCAAACAAAGTCGGCCAAGGAAGTTCATAGTTGGACTGATGTGGTTCTAGTAACCTACATATTAAACCAAATATTATCAGATTCATGTGGATGCGTATTCTGCGTAAGAGAACAGCCAGGGAAACGGTTTTTGTCAAGATGAATATCTGTGATTGACTAATCAAAGAAAGCTTGCCTATGAGACGAGATCGCCTAAAGGTAGAAGATTTCCTAAAATATGACGAGTAATGGGGGGAAATGTCTGTGTACTGGTTTACGTTTTGAAATAAACCCTCAGCTTACTTTGCGAATTATTCGGTAAAATGAACAGACCTGTTGTTTTCCAACATTTTTCAAGTAAAACGACTGGCGAACCACAGATCATGAGGAAGCATAACATAGTGACGATGCAAACGCCGGATACTTTGATAATCGTGCGAACATTCCCAATTAGATAATGCTTACAGAGTAGGGTATTAAAGAAAAGCTGTGGTTTTCTTGCTGCAACTCTCTGGACATCTAAAAGAACATTCTATATATTATGTAAAATAGCCAAGAAAATAAAGTCGGTGCGTGTAAAAATGAAACTATCTACCACACTGAAAAGGACTCACAAGAAGGTTTCCCAATAGTATCCGGTTACATAACTCATGTTTTACTCTAGCCTGCGGTTAGCCGCACGTTTTGTGGTTAGACGCAAAACTGGTAATGATTAACACATATCCCATTTGTGTGAAAGTCCCTTTTATTGCGTGCATCAATCAACCGCCTGAAACAGTATGGACCACCATATGCAATTAAATGTATGAGAAAAATAATTATTTCATCGACATTGCTTGCGACGTACAGGCTTTCGCACACACAACAAAGCGCAGTATTTTAAATATCCGCGACAGTAATGAAATATTAATAAATATTGCGTTGCACGGACACATAAAAACATCAAGAGGACAAGATTTATCGCATAAAATGTTTTATTTGCAGAAACATTTGTTGGGGATTCTTGAAAAATAAATTGTCATTCTTGTATATTTGGCCGATCCGCTGGACCACGCTCACAAATTTCAATGGACCTTGTTTTGCATTTTTCAAATGATCCAATTCTGTATTTTAACGCAAAACATGTCCAATGAAAAATGGGGCAATGAGTCCTATTAACGCTCGCCACACAGGTTGAGTCTGTGAGTAAGCGGTACAAGGGTTTTCCCGAACCTTAAAAGTGGCATCATACTTTGGTGTTTTAACTGTCGTCTCAACTAAAACATGAAGCGTTACTTGTAAGGCAACCTCAGCACAAGATTTTGTGAGCAAAGGATTTGATTGCATCTCATTTTATTCCCAGGACAACACAAAGGTGATTTTTTGTTGAGCATTTTTATCCACCTATGAACTACATAAAATCAAAAACCAAGCCTGGACCGCTGGGCTAGTAGGACCCGTTTGGATACTATCCATGGATGATAGATCACCTGAAAAAAATAAATTGACATTGTGAATATCATTCAGAATAAGGCATGAAATGGTTTGCGTGCAGCATAATACGTTCAGAACTGTTGTGAGATTGGGTTAGCTGGAATTCTTTTGCCAAGCATTAGAAGTGGCCAGCCTTCCGCAGAAAATAACGACGGCTAAATTTGTGAGTGCGAATTCGTGGTTGCATAACATGAACACTAGATTTTTATTTTCAGCGCATTAACTGAGCAGTTGTGACTGTCTAATGACAGCGTAGTTTCTGAGCCTTACCACATATCATGTGTAGGGGGAGACAGAACGTCACAGCTGAACGATAAGAATAGACAAAGTGAACAAAACTCACCAATTAATGACGAAAGATTGATCGAACCAATGTACATCTGCAACAGGAAAGTAAGGCAGACAAGCACAGACAGATTAGTGGAGACCTGCTTTGACGTACTTTGAGCTGGAACACTTGGCAACAGTCCAGACGCAATCGGTGAAAGCGCCCTCAGATTGACATGAATCATGAAAATCTACCTGTCCGTAGGTTTACGCGTCCGTCTTTAGTGAGCTCGCTAGTACGCGTCCAAATTTCTTATAGTTACTTGAAACAACAAAGCCAAAAGATACATAAATTAAATTTAATTCATTTAACGCAGAATTATCTGCTTCCAAATGCTTTTAGAACGTTGATGTTCAAGCAGCTTTGTTTGAATTATGCCTTTTGACAAGTCGGTGTGGTCACATATTTTTTTCCAAAAAAAGATCCAATTCCAAATTCTTGCATCAGTAAAAATTAAATAAATTCCACCGTTACTGCACACTATTAGGCAACCTATTTAATTGACTGAGGTTTGCTTCTGTTTCCGATGACTCACTATGATCGCCGAAAGTTCTTTTGGTTTTTATCCACAACAATTGCCCATAACTGATGCACAATGAGTTTGATTTTCTGAACTAGATTTGAGTATTCAGAAATCGGTAAGTCCCACTTAAACTGAAACATTTACTACCTTTTATAACAAGAAGTACACCTGAAATTTTGAAATAGAACTTGGGCAGCTAATAGAACCCCTTACATGCCAAGAAAGTTATCTTCACCACTTATAATTACTTTGGTATCTTACATACTACGCTGTTTCCATATAAATGAGAACAGACCTAGTTCTGAGTTTCGGTCCTAGAAAGCTCTGAAGAAGAGGATATTGGCGACTCCGTCTACTATGCAGTCATTATTCGTGTGCTGAAAGAATGAGCGCGTATCGATTTGTCTTGTCGCACTGCGTCAGGACCACCACACTCTGGAAAAAACATTCACTTTAGACCACGAGTAGCAGTTAGACGCTTCGCCGATCACATGTAACATAACAAATCTTCGCAATTTTGGTTAAACCCATAAGCACACACGGAACTGTAAATAAATTATTTTGATTCAGTAGAATATTTCCTGATGTGATTAGACACAAACACATCCACTCGAGACAAATTGTATCGGATCAAAACTTAAGTAGTCTTCCCAGAGGGGTTTGTCTTTATATATTTTACATCAAACTATAAGAGTATTGTGATAGATTATTCACGTACACCCTCACAACTTCACGAATAGGTGGGGATCGTAACGAGAGGTTACTTAAAAGAATCGGTCTCTATGTAAGAGTATAATCTGTGTTATCGGACCATGTATACGGCATGTTTTTTATAGAAATCTGGTCGACAAAATTTAAAATGTACCCAAATAGACGTAACCTGCTAAAAATTTCCTTCGTTAAACCGTTTGCCGTATTTGTTTGCAATCATCATCATCATCAATAACGTGCCAACAACGTTCAACACTGATGCTTCGCTACCGTAAAAAATAAAACCAACGCCTGCATATTCTACAGTAGCATCCCTTGGATCAGTAGAGGTTCGTAGCCAGAAGCGAGTGGAGACTGATGCAACGGTTAACTCAGCAATCGTGCTTCCATTTTGAATTCTTGTTTATGGGACACAGCACCTATCAATGTCAAGCGAGTCCAGTGTGAGAAAAGCAACAAGCTGTTGTCCTGCTTGATTCAGAGTGCAAACATTGAAGGCGGCCAAATAGATTGGGCGTCGAGGCTTGAGTATTGATTTCTAGGTGCCTGAGAATTTCACGGCCAAGTGACTCGCAGATGTTGCTCACAAAACCAACACAGGACAAGTGGATTCATCACTCCTAAGTTCTGGGCCTACACGCTGTTTGCAACATGTAAGGCGACCCGACCGATGATACTGCGCATTAGCCGAAGTAACATCAGCTTATCCGTATGTGTGCAATTTATGGTAGTACGTGGGTTTGGATAATGTTAGGGTGCTAACACATTGACAGAAGAACGATTAGCGTCCACAAGCAAAGCCTTTTGCTCAAAAGCCTAACCACATGGCAGCGGTGCTTGGCGGGAACTTCAGACGGATTGCGGTTTTTACAGAACATGTCACCACACATGTTCTAACCCCGAACCTCGAGGACCAGGAGTTTGTGTATGTCAGACCTTCGACCATTGACGAATCTGGTATGAGAGATCCTGCGAGAGTCTTGCGGACGCCCCTCAGTATAGCTTAATCAGTCTCCGGGGAACACCACCGTCACACCGCTCTAACGTCCAGTCTCTTCGTGACGGATTTGTTGTTGTATGATGTCTGCAATTTAAGCCTGACCTCGTTTTTAAAAACATGTACCGAAAACTTCTCTAGTTCTGGGGAGGCCACTTGCCCCAATACATGCTTTTTATACTTTACAACTACGTGTGTGAGCCTGACTTGTCGAAATGGTGAACGTGATTTTAGTTATGAATGGTGTGTCACTTATCTCATTCCGCAGTAATAAAAAGAAAACATCCCAACGCAGTCAGATTCCGACAGGAAAAGTAGCTAAAACCTGCACCATCTTCCAGGGAATTTGCCGCTTCAGTCTATCCCATATATCTATTGTGTCCTATTTATTTCCTTTTGTAGTTACCAGGTTAAATCAGACTGTTATTCACGCTTGCTGTTCCAGAAAGTAATAGGCAGAGCGTAATCACGAATATAAACACCTGATCTAGAAAACGGATAGCTTGCGAGGAAATATACCATTTACTTTACCCGAGAAGTTTTTATCGCTCCATAAAACACATTATGGAAGCAGGAAATCTTCGTTACCGCTTATTATC